AGAGTACCTGGTCCCAGGGAGGCAAGCTGCAGGAACAGTTCTCACACCTCATAAATGGACACAGCCCAAAAATAAGAAAAGGCAAGAACAACAGAATTGGAGAGAACACTTGCTGGGAAAGAAAAACAGTTATAAAAAGAAGTCTGCCAGGCTGCACACTTCCCAAGGGTAGGGTTCTGCAGCTGCAACAGGAGAAACATTGACCACAGCAACACAACAGGCAACAGTAGTTGCACAGAGGTGACAAAATCTTTTGAAAAGAGGAGCCTGACCCTTTCTGTGGGGCAGGCAGAGCCAGCCCTGCACTGGGGCTTCCTGAGGAGTGAAAACAAACACATACCAACCACACTACCAAGACATGAGATTTCTTTAATGGAGACACGTTGTTGATCACACTTTATTTTGCAGTTGGAGATGCCAGCAACAGAACAGACTGAGTTAGCAGGTCAGGCTGCACAGGTATTTGATTGTAGCCACGGCTGTGGGCAGCAGCACTGAGTTACACAACAAGGCAACAGTTTGGCTTCCACCTCCCTGACAGACCTGCCAGGAAAGGCAGAGGATGGACAGCTACTGAACTGTGGTATAAACCATGCAAGAGTAACAAATGTGAGAATAGGTGTGTAATAAATACTTGACAACATTAGAGAGGAATCGGGGGGGGAAGAGGCTCAATTAAAAAAACTCATCTTCTGCAAGACATTAAAGCTATTTTAGGAGCTGCCACCACCACAGTGGGCAGCCCAGTCGTGACTAATTGTACATGGATCCGTTTGGAAACGATATCCCTCCTCACGTGAGAAGGCTCCAAGAGATTATCTATCCACTGACTAAAGCTCTGGGGTTAAAGAAGTGATCAGTAATCAACATTTATTTCACACCTAGGCAGAAGGACTCCACCTGAAGACTACTGCTCAGCTTGCTCTTCAGCTACCTCGATCCTGCGGGGCCCGTAGAGCAGCACATAAGCTATGTGCCAGTCTCCACCCCCAGATAGCCTCAGGATATCTTCAGGTGTGACAATGCTGACTTTGTCATCATCAAATTTAATCCATTCATCTGCAAGAAAAACAAGAGGATCATTTGTCACTCGGGTATGTAAAGCCTAAGTGTGTGTAGGAGCCTCTCCCCCCAAGGACAGCAGGTGTGACAATGCTGACTTTGTCATCATCAAATTTAATCCATTCATCTGCAAGAAAAACAAGAGCATCATTTGGAATTCTAAGTGTGTGCAGGAGCCTCTCCCCTCAAGGACAGAGGCTGTGAGGAGTGTCTCAGTGCCAGCTGCAGTTTCTCTTTACCTGGTTTCCTCTTCACCCAAGACACATAATGCCCAGAGGAACTGGATCTGCCTTGGTGTGTGAGCACTGCCTGCAGGTCATAGTAGCCACAGTTATTAGAACCAATATCTAGAGGAAAAGGAGGAAAAGAAGTTACATGGGTCTTCCATGACCAGTTCCAGTATTCCTCAGAGCACACAGAGCAGACCCATGAGCTGTCCTGCAGCTGTGTGGGCAATTTCCAGCACATCTCTGCATCCCTGTGGACTGACAGCATCACCCTGCAGCCAGCAGAACCCCCCAGGGCCTCAGACACTGCCCATCTTCATGACATAAATATGTACCCTGGCTGAAAAGCAAATGCAGCAAGCTCACAGCTCTAAAAGGACAGTGTATGGTCAGTGAACTTCTGGCCAGGTTCAGCCAACAGCTGAGCCAGCACTGGGGAGAGCCATGGAGCTGCAGGGACTGACACTGAGCATGGGCAGCAGTGAGGGCTGCTGAGGGAACTCAGCTACAGCAGGGCCACCACTCTGAGGGCAGCTCATTCAGCTCCTCAGCTTTTCAGTGGGAAGAGCTGGCTGACTCTGACTGCACCAGGAAGGTGTCAGTCCCCAGGACATCTCAGCTGCATTTCTCAGCACCCCTGAACATCCTCTTTTCACTGTGCTCCTGAGCTAGTCAATGCTTCAAGGCAGCTCACCACACACAAAACCTCAGGGAGCACTGAAGGGTAACAAATTGGGTAAAAAAACTTTCCAAAATCATTTCTACATGGTGTCCTCAACAGGAGGGTGAATGTTTAGGTCATTCAGCTCCCAGGCCACCAAACTCAGGCAAGACTAGAACCACCCACAGCACTTTTAAAAGTCTAAGTTTTGGATCTTATTTCAGCTGTCTACCACCCACTAACAAGGAAGCAAACTTCACATTACATGGAAACATCCTTTGCTGCACACCTCCTATCTATCATCACCTTAGTCAGAGCCATGGTCATCCACCTGACAGCTCAACAGCATTTTCAGTTCTCTGATCTTCCCATTCCTTATAGTTCTGTCAGTTGCTCAAGATGAATTTTTAAAAGGCATTAAAAATAACCAAAGTTCTCAAAATGCTCCTACCATCAGCTCCACTTAAACATGAACAAATAGGAATTTACTCTAAAATACCCTCTACTTACCATCAGGAAAAGAAAATGGTTCATATTTGACTTCTTTCTGTGCACTGTCACTTTTACTAGACTGAAGAACAGAAAATGCTGAGTTAATGTGGGATACTTTTGAGAAAGCTTCAAAAAATCATGTCAAATGCTAACTACTCATTCCTCTAAAGATGTTCAAAGCCTAAACATTTTTTGTTCAACGTGAAATAAGTTCCATTCCTACACATCCAGCAGCTGAGTCTAAACAAGACCATTTTTTACAGCAGATAACCATTCAGCACCTACTGCCAGGACTCTCTACCCACTACATTTACAGCTTTGGAGCAGGAAAAGAATTCTGCAATTCAAGATTTTATTCTGTCAGGGACTTGTTAGCAGTAGAAGAGGCAATAAGACTATGTGAGGCTATTTTATTCTGTCAGGGACTTGTTAGCAGCAGAAGGGGCAACAAAACTATGTGACTCTGCCTCTGAAACACTCTGTTTCAAAACACAACTCTTTCCTTGCTCCTAACCCTGTGAAAAAGAGATTTAAACCTTTGAACAAGACTTGCATGGAACTGCCAGGAGTTATGGCAGGAAGAGCAGCAAACTTGGAAAAAAATGCTAAAGAAAAACAACTACATTTTAATGCAGTTTGGAATTAAAAGGTAAGCAGCATGTTTGTCTACATTTAACATTTCTCAAACCAAAGTCAGTATTGTGTTTTCATGAAAGTACACAAAGATCTACAGCTCAACACCAACACCTTGAATGCTAAACAGGAAAACAAGATACTTAAAGAAGTCAAGTGTTCTCTAGTCCTTATTGGTACCCCAATTTCAGATCACAGTATCACAGAATGTTGGGGGTTGGAAGGGACCTCCAGAGATCATCGAGTCCAAACCCCTGCCAGAGCAGGACCACCTGG